CTTTTTTGAAGGCGTGTTTTTTTTTGAAAATATTTCTTCACCAAAAATCTATTTAAAATTATTGTGCTGATTAGAAGTTTTAATATTTGTTCCTTTGTTTAGTATTTTTGATTTATATAAAATTTGTATGTAACATATTTGATAAAAAAAAATAATGATTTTTTATCAAATACTTACCTACGTAGTACATGCGATTAAAAAATAAAAATTACCTACCCTTTTGTTTTTGGTTTTTTTATAATCAAAGCTAAGATAATGAAATGTGTCGATTAAAACCAAATTAATTATATTTGTCTTTTTTTAGGTTATGACCTAAATTTGATAAAAAAACAAAAAATATCGAAAAAAACAATGACAAAAAATTTTTATTTTACAAAAACTGTTGTTGTTGTTTCCTTTTCATATACCTACTTGTCTAATTACATTACCTATAACAATGTTAATTATTTTTAGCGCCATGAAAATTGACCCCCAGGTGATGAGGAGGCTATAAAAAGAAACATTTCCCAAGAGGTTAAATAGCTATTTCATCATTGAAGGGCAAGCGGCTGCCGGCGGCGGCCTATCCCAATGCACCATCAACATACAAATCGTTAAGTTTTCTCTTCCGTCTTTGGGGAATTTACTAAATAACCCCATTCGTCGTGATGATGATGACTCCAAAGACGAAATACAAAAAAACAAAAAAAAGAAAATAAAGTTGACCTTCAAAATACACACCAAACGATTTAAACCAAACTTAAAGCTTTGATTGTGGTTTGGCTGGCTTTGCCTCTAACCCCTTCCCACCATGTATACTTTGTTATAAATAACCATAAAAATTGTATACATAATTCATTCATATGTATGTATGATTACACAAACATGACATTGTGTGCCGCGACACGGCGCTCTGCCCTGTTACATTGTATTCCCATTTACCATATTTGCTGGTTTGTTTGGGGGGCGGGGGCTATGTTTGATTTTTGTATTTTTTGGACGATAAGCGGAATTTTTGGAATTTCCTACAACGTAGCTTTTGTTTTTGAAAGACCACGTGAATTTCTTTTTTGCTTGAAAATAAACAAATCAAAATTAACGTCTGACTGTATTTTCAAATCCATGACAAAATAAAAATTGAAATGTAATGTCGTTAATAGCTCTTTGTGTATAAGATGATGATGATTATCTAGTTCAGGGTTAACAGAGCAGCAGAGCCATCATTTTGAGGCAAGAGAAAAACACTATTTTTTTTTGGTAAATATTTTTTCAATTTTTTTTTTGTTCATTTCAAATAATTATTTTTTCTTTATTTTAGATCATTATTTATTTTATTTACATTTGAACAAACAAAAATCGACAAATATTGGGAATCACCATAGCCTCCCTCTACCTCTCGAGTGAATCACAAATTTGTGAATAATTTTTGCACACAAATTTAACATTTCCAAATCTGATGTCATTCGAAAAAATGTCTCTAATTTCTGGTAAATTCCGCTATTCATTATAAAATACCTGATTGGAAAATATGGATTAACAAAATAAGGACAACAAGGCGTGGATTTTTTAAAAATATTTTTGGAGGCCTTATACAAAACGAGGATTTGTCTTTTAAAAAAAGAGGTCCAACAAAGGCGTGGATTTAAAAAAAAATAGAAGGTTTACCACAGACTTAATTTAAATTGGACGATTTCCACAGCCTTGGATTTTTATACCCTTCACCACAGGGTATTATGTCTTTGTGCATATGTTTGTAACAGGCAAAAGGAAACGAGATAGACACATGGTTCTTTTTGAGAATATGCATGGAATCACTTTCAAAGTCGATTTATGCATGTCCGTCCGTCCGTCTGTTTGTCTGTCTGTCTGTCCATGTTAAATTGTAAACTAAGTACAGCTCGCATTTATGATCCGATTTGGATGAAATTTGGCATAGGTCACTTATTTGGCCCAAGGACGAACCCTATTGAAATTGGGAAAAATCGCTTCAGATTTCGATATATGGTGGTGCTCCAAAGTCTCTAAATATCTTTCGATTTACACGAAATTTGGCATGGCGTACAGAATTGAGTCTAGAATGATGTGTGCTAAGTTTCGTGAAAATCAGTTCAAATTTAGACATAGCTCTCATATATAGTTTTGTCCGATGTAAGACAAATGGTGCACCAAAGTCCCAAATATCTTTCGATTTGCACGAAATTTGGCATGGCGTACAGAATTGAGTCTAGCATGATGTGTGCTAAGTTTCGTAAAAATCGGTTGAGATTTAGATATAACTTCCATATATATTTTTTCCGATTTAAGACAAATGGTGCACCAAAGACCCTATATATTCTTCGATTTGCACGAAATTTGGCATGGCGTACAGAATTGAGTTTAGCATGATGTGTGCTAAGTTTCGTGAAGATCCGTTGAGATTTAGATATAGCTCCCATATAAATTTTTGTCCGATTTAAGACAAATGGTGCACCAATGACCCTATATATTCTTCGATTTGCACGAAATTTGGCACAGAGTAATGAACGAGGTTAAGAATGATGTGTGACAAGTTTCGAAAAAAACGGGTCAGATTTAGATGTAGCTCCCATATATATTTTTGTCCGATTTAATGTAAATGGTGCACCAAAGACCCTATATAGTCTTCGATTTGCACGAAATTTGGCACAGAGTAATGAACTGGTCTATTTGTATGCCAGGTCATTTTCCCATAGAAAATTATGTCTTATTTCTGACCGACTTTCAATTGGAAAAATCTATCAATTTTTCTATAGAAAATCAGAACGTTTTTGTCTTTCTATAGCAAATCCATAGTCCAGCTTCTACCAAATTTTCTATAGAAAATCAGCCGAGTTTATACCAATTTTTTTTAAATAAAAAATCCAATTCAAGGTTGAACAAAATTTATTAAAGAATACCCATAGAAAATCCTGTCAATTTCCTGAGCAAATTTTCTATAGAAAATTCAGTCCAGTTTGTATAGAATATCCACTAAATTTTTTGTCAAATTTTTTTTTCTATAGAAAATTCAGTCCATTTACTTCATTTTATTGTCCAAATTTTCTATAGAAATCTAGTCCAGTTTCTGACCAATTTTACTATAGAAATTTCAGTCCAGTTGAGATCAATTTCTGACCAAATATTCTATATAAATTTTAATTTCGTTATATTTTCAAATTTCTGTTTCATTTTTTTTATAGAAAATCAAATATTTTTTATTTTATTTATTTATAGCAGCAATTTGATTGACCCACTTTTAATTAAATTTGTTGTGGATTTTGTTGTTGTTGTCATTTCCTTTTGTTGTTGTTTTTGTTTTGTTTTTAGCTGTAATTACTTACATTTGCTGCTGGTGCTGCGCCGTTGCTTCGACTGCTGCATCATCAGCATTATCACAATTTCATTATCGTATCTACCAACCTACCGGCAAACTAAAACGACTGACTGACCGGCTAAATGACTGCAACGCCAACTCATGTTGTCTGTTTGTCATGACAGCCAGCCAGCCAGCCCGCCAACCAACCAGCCGGTTTATTTGACGTATTGTCGTTCTACTTGTGTGTGCGCTCTTGTTCTTATTCCTAAACGACCGATTATTAGCGTAAACGTCATTGTGACAAACCGTGCAAGAGCGACACATATTGCTATTTTTACTTTTTTGTTGTTGTTTTTGTTTTTCTTTCTTGTTGACATACACATGTTTGGGTACATTCATAGAGACATACATGTACTTGGTTTTTTTCTTCAATTTTTTTTTTTCTAATGAAGTGGGTCATGAGGCATGCCATGCCATGCATTGACAGAGAGACAGAGAGAGGCAGTATGTAATCATCATCTTGTTTCTCTGCTCTCAGACGTATTCAAATGCCAGCAGAGCATTTTGCAGCGACTGCAAATTTTGCTGCAATTGTTAACAGACTCGAACAAACAGAATTTTAAAGGGGGATTTCTAAAAAATTGTCTATAGAAAATCCGGAAAAGTTCCTGACCAAAAATTTTCTATAGAAAATCTAGGCCACATTCCGCCAAATTTTCTATGGAAAATCTAGGCCATTTTCTGACCAAATTTTTTAAAGGGAATAAAGGTCAAATTTTCTATGGAAAATATTGGTAAATTTTTTGACCAAATTTTCTATGGAAAATATTGGTCAATTTTTTGACCAAATAGAAAATATTGGTAATTTTTTTGACCAAATTTGTTTGGTCAATTTTTGACCAAATTTGTTTGGTCAATTTTTGACCAAATTTGTTTGGTCACTTTTTGACCAAATTTGTTTGGTCACTTTTTGACCAAATTTGTTTGGTCAATTTTTGACCAAATTTGTTTGGTCAATTTTTGACAAAATTTTCTATAGAAAATATTGGTAAATTTTTTAGACCAAAAATTTTCTATAGAAAATATTGGTCAAATTTTTTGACCAAAAATTTTCTATAGAAAATATTGGTCAAATTTTTTGACCAAAAATTTTCTATAGAAAATATTGGTCAATATTAATAAAAAATTTTCTAAAAAAAATATTGGTCAAATTTTTGACCAAAAATATTGGTAAATTTTTTGACCAAAAATTTTCTATAGAAAATATTGGTAAATTTTTTTACCAAATTTTCTTTAAAAAACATTGGTCAATTTTTTGACAAAAAATTTTCTATAGAAAATCTAGGCCACTTTCCGACCAAATTTTCTATAGAAAATCTAGGCCACTTTCCGATCAAATTTTAAATAGAAAATCTAGGCCATTTCGACCTAAATTTCTATAGAAAATCTAGGCCACTGTCCGGCCAAATTTTCTATAGAAAATCTAGGCCACATTCCGGCCAAATTTTCTATAGAAAATCTAGGCGAATTCCTGATCAAATTTCCTATAGACCATTTTCTTTGTTATATTTTTTTATTGTATTATTAATTACATATTTTTTTCAATATTAATAACTAATTGTTTTTTCTCTCCACCCCCTTCTCTTCTTTAGATTTCTTTTCCTCATTGCCTAATGCAGCTACAACAGCAGCACCTCCATTACCACAAATTGCCACACAATCATGTCTAATGGATACCGAAGAAGTTACAGTTCAGCAGACAACGGTAGCAGAGCAACAACAAGTCGATGAGGCAATGTATGAAAATAACAACAACAACATATATAACTATAACAACAATAATGTTGAGAAATATGAACAAAGCATTTTACACCTGCAATTACAACATCAACAACAACAATCTCAAATGCCAACACAGCAACCTCCCACTCTACAACAACAGCAAACACAAGAGCAACAACAACAACCTCATCAATATCACCATCACCAGCAACAACACTATCAAGGTCACTTGCATCGTGCTAATCGAGACGTTAGTCGTTGCATGCTATCTCACATGATTTAGTAGAGTTTTCAAACTTTTTTTTTGTTTTTTTTCAAAATTTTGTATTTTTCTCATACTATATTAGTGGGGGTTTCTGTCTCTCTCTCTATATTATTTTTTTAATTACAAAATTATGTGTGTGGGGGTTTAATAGCGAGAGAGCGATCGATCCTATTTTTTTTTACACAAAGCACAAAATGCAATATTTTTTCATAGCTTCTCAAATTAACAAACTTTTTTGATTTGATTTAATTATGTTTTTTTTTAATTTTAATTTTCAAAATGCCAACATTACTACTTAATTTTTTTATATGGCTGGTTTTTCATTAAGAAACACAGTATCCACCATTTTGAATTCGATTTTAGTACAAAATAATAACACGCTAATGTTTTGCACATAATTTAATATATGTCAGGATAGATTTTATAGTTCTTTTCAAGAGATTTTCTTTAGGTAAAGCATAGAAAATCATGACCACATTCCGATCAATTTTTGTAAAGAAAATGTAGATCAGTCCCTCATCAAATTTCCTATAGAGAATCTATGTCACTTTTCATAGAAAATCTTGGCAATTTTCTCAACAAATTTTCTATAGAAATCTAGGCCACCTTCTGACCAAATTTCCTATAGAAAATGGTGATCAGTTCCTGACCAAATTTCCTATAGAAATATAGGTCACTTTCCGGCCAAATTTTCCATAGAAAAGCTAGGCTAATTTCCGGCCAAATTTTCTATAGAAAATCTAGGCCACTTTCCGGCCAAATTTTCTATAAAAAATGTAGATAAGTCCCTTGTCATGTTACCTATAGAAAATCTGGGCCACTTTCAGACCAAATTTTCTATAGAAAATATTGGTCATTTTTTTACCATTTTTTTTTTTTTTTTGTAAATTTTTGACCAAATTTTTTTTTGGTATTTTTTTGACCAAATTTATTTGGTCAATTTTTGACCAAATTTTTTTGGACAATTTTTGACCAAAAATTTTCTATAAAAAAAATTGGTAAATTTTTTGACCAAATTTTCTATATAAAATCTAGGTCACTTTCCGGCCAAATTTTCTATAGAAAATCTAGGTCACTTTCCGGCCAAATTTTCTATAGAAAATCTAGGGCACTTTCCGGCCAAATTTTCTAAAGAAAATTGAACCAAATTTTACTTCTGAACAAATTTTCTGTAGAAAATCTAGGACAATCTCTGACCAAATTTTCTATAGAAAATCTAAGCTACATTCTGACTATGGAAAATGTTGATCAGTTCCTGACAAAATTTCCTATTGATAATGTACAGACGTAACATCGATCGGATTACCACGAAATTTGGCACAGGCGAATAAAATAAGTCTAAACCGGATGTGTCAAGTTTGATATCAATCAGTTCATCGGTTCCACATAGAATTTCTTCCGATTTCATGAAAATGCTGTACCAAAACACGCTTCGTGTGTCGGATCGACATGAAATATGACACAGGAGGCCGCAGTGGATCTAGAATGACATGCACCAAGTTTGGTTTTAATCGGTCCAGATTTAACTAAAGCCTCCACATATAATTTCGAACGATTTCACGAAGAGGTCAACCAAATCATGCTAAGTTGGTCGGATCGACATGAAATTTGACTCAGAGGTTCGCATTGGGTCTAGAATGATGTGTGTCAATTTTGATTTTAATCGGTCCAGATTTAACTATAGCCTCCACATACAATTTCGATCAATTTCACGAAGAGGTCAACCAAATCATGCTAAGTTGGTCGGATCGACATGAAATTTGACTCAGAGGTTCGCATTGGGTCTAGAATGATGTGTGTCAATTTTGATTTTAATCGGTCCAGATTTAACTAAAGCCTCCACATATAATTTCGAACGATTTCACGAAGAGGTCAACCAAATCATGCTAAGTTGGTCGGATCGACATGAAATTTGACTCAGAGGTTCGCATTGGGTCTAGAATGATGTGTGTCAATTTTGATTTTAATCGGTCCAGATTTAACTATAGCCTCCACATACAATTTCGATCAATTTCACGAAGAGGTCAACCAAATCATGCTAAGTTGGTCGGATCGACATGAAATTTGACTCAGAGGTTCGCATTGGGTCTAGAATGATGTGCACCAAGTTTTGTTTTAATCGGTTCAGATTTAACTATAGCCTCCACATATAATTTCGATCGATTTCACGAAGAGGTCAACCAAATCACGCTACGTTGGTCGGATCGACATGAAATTTGTTTCAGAGGTTCGCATTGGGTCTAGAATGACGTGTGCTCCAAGTTTGGTTTTAATCGGTTCAGATTTAGTCATAGAAAATGGCTAATCAGTACCTGACCAACAATTTTCTATAGAAAATGGTGGCTAATCAGTTCCTGACCAAATATCCTATAGAAAATCAGGTCACTTTCCGTGCAAATTGTCATAGAAAATTAGGGTAACATTCTAACCTAATATTCTATAGAAAACAGATCAGTTTGTAACAAAATTTCATCTGTAAAATTTGTTCCTGACCTATAGAAAATGGTTGATCAGTTCCTGACGAAAATTTTTCTATAGAAAATGGCTGATCATTTCCCAGCCAAATTTTGTTTAGAATATCGGTTTCTGGAAATAATATTTTCTAGCAAACATCAGTATTCCTCCATTGGCCTTTTGTTCTCAGTTTATTAGTGTGTATTCCCTCCTAAAGTCATTAATTTTCAAAATCTAAAATGACTGGGTGGTGGTGGACAGACCCAAGAGTCATTAGCTAGATGAATCACATTTTAATCGAAATTGCGAAAAAAATTCCACTCGAAAGTGAATTAATTGCAGAATTTATTCGAATCTTCTACTCTGCTTTTATTTTTTTTTTATTTTTAGAAAAAAAAAATCAACAAAAATAAACTTGGCATTAAATTTTGTTGTGTAAATTTGCGTTGGCGTTCATTAGTTGTGGGGATATACATACATATATCTTCAAATGATGTATATAAAATTATATACAGTCGAGTATGGTTATAGCGAGCTCATAGGGACCAAGCAAATTAGTTCGTTGTAGAAGAAGTTCGCTATAATATTAAGGATTTGTATGAAAAATATCTAAAAAATCGGAAATGTGTTCGGCATAAGAAAAGTTCGTTATAACCGATGTTCGTTATAAGCGTACTCGACTGTATATAAAGAAAAGAAAGTGTGTGCTTCTTTTATTTTTTTTCAAAATTATTCACAACATACATGTGTGTGTTTATTGCTAATTTGACACATGCAATTTGAAAAATTAATGGATTTTTTTTAATTTTGTACGTCCAATCTTTTTTTTCTTTTCTTTTACAAAGTTTTATAAATATTTATATAGACAGTTATATATATTTTAATTTATAATTTGCTGGCAAATTATTTTTTTGGAATTTTTATTTGCCCCATTCTTTTCGAATTGTACCTTATTATTTTTTAAATAGTATATATGTAATTATATACCACAAAAAAAAAAAAAAAACAATGTACTTAATGTGAAATATTTTATTTTTAATTTTTTTGTTTAGCAAAAATTACCACTACATAAATAAGCAATATATATTTTTTTAATAAATATATATACACTATTTTTTCAATAAAATATAAGTGCAAAAATATTTTGTAGTAATTTTAGTAATTAATATAAAATGTAAATCATTTTTTTGTTTCTTTTCTTTGTAATGAATTTAAAATTAAACAAAAAGAAGAAGAAGAACAAGAAAATAATACAATGTAATATATATCTTTTTTGTCATATCAAAATAAAAATTTTATTAAAATTATTTTTTTTTTTTTGGAACAAAAGCTTTGTAATAAGAAATTACTAATAAAAAAAAGTATTATATAAAAACAAAATTTGTCATGTATAGAAAGAAAAAGGTGAATAGTTTTTTGAAAATAAATAAAGAAAAAAAAAAGAAAAATTAACACACAGGCCTTTTTTGTATATTCTCCAAATATTGTAATGGTTAAAAAAAAATGTAAAAAATTGTAAAAAATTAAATAATTTTATATATTTAAATCCAGGCTACTTTTTGATCAAATTTTCTATAGAAAATTTTGACAGGAATTTGGATTTTCTATAGAAAATTTGTTGGCCAAGTGCTGATCAACAACACTTTCTATAAATTTCAGCCACCATTTTCTATAGAAAATTTTTTGGTCAGGAACTGGCATTATGCCACAAAAATGAACACTTGTGAGAGATATTGACTCAAACATGAAATCGACCAAATAAAAGCAATAAATACATATTTTTCCCATACTCTCTATTTGATCATGATTTTTGACGGATAATTCAAACATATACGAACTTGAGTTCCTCAGTGACCTCTAGTAAAATTTTACGTAGAACATTTTCTCCATTAACATCAAAACTCAATTGTGAATAGTTGAGGTAGATTTTGGCGAAATTTGAAAACATTTCATTTTTAAACTAAATAATGACCTTTTTGGTTTATGACCAAATTATTATAGACTTTTGACTGATATTTATTGAAACTACACCTTTGATTTGTTCGGTGACCTATTGTGAAATTTGATGAAGAACATTTCCTCCATAGGCATTACCCACAAAAATTAATGCTTATGGTAGATATTGACTCAAACTTGAAATCGACTAAATCTAAAGCAATAAATACATATTTTTCCCATACTCTCTATTTGATCATGATTTTTGACGGATAATTCCTACATATACGAACTTGAGTTCCTCAGTTACCTCTAGTGAAATTTTACGTAGAACATTTTCTCCATTAACATTAAAACTCAACTATGAATAGTTGAGGTAGATTTTGGCAGAATTTGAAAACATTCTAACTTAACACTAAATAAAAGTGTTTTTCTTTTTCTATATGCCCAAATTGTTATAGACTTTTGACTGATATTTATTGGAACTACACCTTCGATTTTTTCGGTGACCTATTGTGAAATTTTATGAAGAACATTTCCTCCATTGGCATTATCCCACAAAAATGAATGCTTATGGTAGATATTGACTAAAACTAGAAACCGACCAAAAATAAAAGCAATAAATACATAT